CCCGGCGCCCGGGGCGCGAGGGGCCGCCCTGCACCACAGCGCCTCCCCACGAGCGGCCCGCCGCGCCTTCTCCCGGCGCCGGGGGCACCTGCGCGCGGACCCCAGGGGGCGGCGAGGCGGCGGGCTTGGGGGCGCGCGCCTGCAGAAGGAAGCCCCGGGAGGGGAGAGCGTGGGGAGTGGCGGCTGAGTCCAGGAGGAAGCGGCCAGGGGCAGGGGCCGGCCGTGTCCTCCGCCTGCGGGAGGCGCGGAGGGGCCGGTCCCGGGAAAGGGCGGGAAGCTCCAGTACGTTCACTGCATCCCCCGGGAGCTTCTGTTGGCCCAGCCCTGGAGAGACACCGGGTAGAGTACCAGCCAAGTGCTGTGACCCCTTAGGCATGTTGAATCAGTTGGGGGACAGTCCCAGGGCAGCTGTCCACCCGCCGATTGCCGGGGCCACCGCCTCCCAGCGTTGCTCCCCCGGCTGCCCACATCCAGGCACCAACCACCCTGTCTTCCCCGGGACACACACCCGAGCCAGCAGGGAGGATTGCGGACCCAGAAACTCAAACTGGGAAGGGAGAGAGCCTGGGAAAACAGTCGTGTGGGTTTAAAACCCAGCCTTGGGAGGCCCTGTTCTAGCTGCCGCAAGTGGGGAAAATTCAAAGTCTGACCTCAGGTGAGCTGGCACGCAAAGCTCACTGAGAGGCGCCTCTTTTATCTGAGCCTGGGAGGCAGCCATCACCATCACTGGAATCTTTGTTTTGGTTGCCCCAGGCGCACACACCTGTAAACTCTGAAATGTAGTTTTGAAAAACAAGTTGTCCACGGGTTTAGGGTTGCTTTTCAGACTCAGTTCAGAGGGAAAACAAGTTAAAATTTTGTCACTGCTCTCAAAGTTGTCATTATTCTATTGGCATTTACCATCAACTTACAAAAAAGTTACCCAGATACTTTCCTGGGTGCGCAGAAACTGGGCAAAAATAAGGGGAAGGGTTGCAGATAGGATGCAAGAAAGCCCTACCTGCCCACCGACTTAGGCTGACATTTTTAAAGGGAGCCAGATTCTTCTCTCCTCTTCACTCCGGTCCACAGACAAACCATTCAAGAAAATGAGAATCACCTAAGTAAGAAAAATTTAAAACAGCTAACAATTATCCATCATGCACTGTATGCCAGTCACTGTGGTAAACATTTCGTATGCATTACCTCAGTCCTCATGCAACCCTGTATGTCATTCCTCCTTAGCTTTGTTCTAAATAGATTAATATGCTCAGAGCCATACTGTATGAACACCGGAAATAATAGCATTTTTGCTATTATTGGCATTTTTGCTGAGAAAGACAAGGGTAGAAATGAACAGAATAGAGAATTTTTAGTCCAATAATCTACAAACAAGGATCTCTGAAAGTGACTACTTAGCCCACATATATATTTGTGCTTCTGAAACTGCAGATGAAGGTGACTCTGACTAGAAGGTTACAGCCAGTGAACAGATAAGTATTATTATATGCAGTTTACAGTTATTAAAACTGATGCTCCAGTAGGTTCACTTCATCGCCAGGTCACACAGTCCGTAATTTTGAACCCAGATTCAACCTCGTGTCTCTGGATTCCACATCCAGTTTTCTTTCTACCATTTCAAGGACCTCTCTTGTGCACATCACCTCAGTGGAAACTGAGTGCACTGGGTCTCCTCCCAAGGAAAAGACCATCCTATTCACCAGGTAGTAATTACTCTGGAGAGCAAGAGACTATTTGTTTTGTTCTTATTTTGTTTACATTTAGAGAGAACATTGGCACAAAGCTATGGATGATATGGTGCAGCTCTTGAAACTCCAGGCAGGAAAATCAGTAGTCACACCCATTATCCAAGAACTGAAGACATTGTGTCTAAGGTTATAGGGATCAAAGAAGCTTGCACACACATCCACGAATATGATCTGGCTACAGGCTCTTGAATATCCCTGGTGCTAGTTCATGCTATATTTTAGAACACAACACTTTCATTAGCCTTAATGACTCCGGCTGTAAAATGAATTTTGGAGCAAATTACTTTAACCCCTTGAGCCATCTTCCCTCTGTCAAATGGTGAAAAAAATAATACCTTTCTTAGAGTGTTGTTGGAGGATTCAATGAGACAATGTGCTGGTTCTCTATAATCTGTGCATCTCTATTAGAAAAGATGCCACTATTAGTGTCATCTGTCAAGAATTACCCAGACTGAGATAAACTGGGGAAAAACCCTTTTCCCTGGGGTCTTAAAAAAATCTAAGACAACACTAATATTTGCAAAATCCTGTCAAGAGAACACTATAGGTGAAGGGACAGTTGGGGAATGAGATGTTCATCTTGCCATTTCTGAGAACTGAACATGAAGGAAAGAACATAAGCGTGATAATACTGATGACTTTGAGTACAAACATAAAAAATATAAACACACCCTGTATGTAATAATGATAGCTTGGATTTGTACACAGTTTTTATCCTCCTAAGACTTCAAAGTACTTTTCATATATGTTATCTCATTTATCTTCTCAGCATCCCTCTGAAGCAACAAAGACAGATATAATCATCCCCATGTTGCAGATGGGGGAAAATGGGGTGTAGAGAGGTGATTGCTCTTACTGAGGATGTTAAGACACAAATCAGGCTGTTAAATTCCCAGTCCAGAACACTCTTTGGTAGGCTGTGGTATCATATTTACACATGCATATACATACATGTATCTGACCACCATTTTTCTTCAAAACTAATTCCTCTTCCAGTTACCATGATAATGGTAAATAGTACTATTTACCCAGTTGTTGGTTTTTTTAATTTTTATATATTGATTTTAGAGTGAGAAAGGAAAGGGGAAGAGAGAGAGAGAAACATTGATTTGTTGTTCCACCCATTTATGAACTCACTGTTGATTCTTGTATGTGCACTGACCAGGGATTGAACCCACAACCTTGGTATATCGGGACAATGCTCTAAGCAACTGAGCTACCTCGGCCAGGACTTAGTTTAAACTAGAAACTTAGGGGCTATCTCTGATTTCTCCCTTTCTTCCTCTCCATCCCTTTCTATCAACAACTCTGCCAGCTACCCCCTCCCCCAAATATATTTCAATTTCTACCCACTTTCCCTTTGCCTTCATTT